TGGTGGCGGAAACAATAACTAGTGCAATTCGTGCGGACCGTTTCATCGATAGTTACATCTTACCAAATGGCCGGTCGGTTAAGCTATGTCAATACGCTGATGATACATCTGTTATCGTAAATACGGACTCGGCAGTGAATGCTCTGTTCCATTTGTTCACACGATACAAGAAGGCGTCTGGGGCTAAATTAAATGTTTCAAAATGTCATGGGTTGTTGATTGGTACATGGCAATCTCGTTCCAATCTACCAATTGTTCTGGATTGGCCCAATATGGAAATCATTGTTCTGCGTTCTCGTATCTCTAATGATAATGAAGAACAATGGGAGTCAAAGATCAAGGCCTTGAAGACTACTTTGACAGCTTGGAACCGGAGAGCGCTTTCCTTTCGTGGACGCGCTCTCATTGCCAATATGCTGGGGCTGAGTACTCTCTGGCATCTATGTTCGTTTTCTGTAATACCTGAAACAATCATTAAAGCTGTCAATGGGGAGGTTTTTCCGTTTGTATGGCGGAAGAAACGAGATTGGCTGGCTCGCTCCTCGGTCACACAACGACCTAATCAATTGCGTTTAGGTGTGGTGGACGTCCATCGTAAGATGTTGTTTCTGCATGTTTTATGGGTAAAGAGGCTTATTTTTCGCCCCAACTTGCCGTGGACTAGTTTCTTTTCCCAGTATCTCAAGCGCGCATTCCCTGGTCGCTCTAGCTGTTCACCAAATTTTGATTTTGGCGGTACCACCGAAAAATGCTATAGACGCTCTCCCTCCGTTTTATCGATCTGTGTCGACAGCTTGGTTTGCTCTGGAACGAAAGTTTGTGGACAATGAATACGTCATTTGCGGTCTTCGGAAATCTGTGGTCAAGCTTGAACAGCTGTCGGCAAGTTTCGTCTATGACACCCTGTCTCACCAACATCGTAAGCAACATCGATGCGTCGAAAAGTATGCGAATTGTGGTCTTCCAGTCGATTGGTCAAATGTTTGGTTGTCCCTTCTTCTCTGGCGTTTTACAAGACATGTTCGGGATACTTCCTGGCTGATTGCGCATGTTATTCTTCCTACCGCCGATCGTTTGTTGCGCTTTGGAATGCACGTTGTCCCGTTGTGTCACTGTCGCCAAACGGAGTTCCTCGTCCACCTTTTTACTGACTGTCCATTTGCTGACTGTCGATTAATGCGTCTAAATGTTTCTCGGAGGCGCGGTGGTCGCATTCTTTAGTTGCTACTGCCGTTTCCTTTGAGTTGCGTTAGTACTTTTGTCCGTCAATGTTTTCAAACGTCGGCCTTTTTGGCTGTTGTTTATGATGTTTTAATTGTGTTATTTTGTTAATATGTCATGTGGCTTGTAATGATGTTTTGTTTTGTTTTGTTTTGTTTGTGTTTTAATAGGAGCAGTGGTCTCCTTTATTGGTGTACTGCTGTGGCCTCCTTTTTGAATTAATGTTGGCCTGTGGTTTGTTCGGACTTTTGATCGGATAGGTTGCACAGGTATCTGGTAGACTCGGCGGGTTGTTCATGATGATTCAAAGTCAGTTAACATCATTCCGACCATCCACTATCATAGGATTAGGGATCCCTGGGTATGACGATGCTCAGCATCTGATTGTTCAGGTCAGTCATGTTTGTCTCATGGCACGGGGGAGAGGATCGTATTCTCTGTTGGTTTGCTTGCTGTGTAGCAACTCCCTTGATACGGCGATTTCACGGGCTCAGGTTCCATTACACCGTCGGGTCCAGATCAGCAATGATCAAAGCCTTTCGTCGTTCAACTCAAAATAAAACTAAACGCATGTTTTGAGGGAAACTAGTGATTAAGTGACCCCGCAAACCTCGGGAGGTTTAGACTTTGGCTAAACCTCCCTCGGTTTGCGGGGTCATTTAATCACTAATTTCCCTCAAAGCATGCGTTTACTTATAATTACAACCCACAACCTTGTTCCCAGTACTTTCGTGTGAGGACGAGGGGGGAGATGAGAAAGCCCTGGTCCAGGCCGGTCATGTAACTAAAAATATGCCAACAAATATAGGCATATTTGACAGTTACTCCTCAAGGAGTGGCGAAAAGCTCTTACACTTTGTTCGAAATAAATAAACACAAATATAAAACCTCACGTAACCTGTTTACGCTGTACAGGAAATATACGGATTCACTTGTTTCGACGCCGACGTTTGCCGTTTCAGTAGCAATGCTTGCCTACAAATTTTATCCTCTTCAGAGTCTTTGTTTTATTTTATCGTGTAATCGCAATTCGGTGTCGCGTCACTAGCGAATCTTGTACAGACTATTACATAGCCTACGCGTACAGCTAAGTCAACGGGGTCTAAATTAGTAGTTTCATTTAATTGTTTGTCTTGTTTTTTATTTGTCTGTATAGAATATTGTAAATTAAAGTATTGCTACAATGCAATACGCGCAGTATTTTATCACACATCTGCAGTCATTATAAATGCTGTACAAAGAAGACCACAACTTAATAGTAGGCGTTTCTTGTTTTGTCAGGAAATATCACAGCACATGTCGACATAGACTTGGTTCAAGTCCATCTCAGGAGAAAAGTAGGAAGAGACAGACTTGGGGCATTCGCATAATTTCGAATGTCAACGTCACTTGCAAAAATTGGCGCGAAAATTTGCTGTTGTTCTAAACTGGCAAGCCACGCCTCCGTAGGAAAAATCCGGCGGTAAAATTCGGCGCGCTTGCAGCTAGGGCATCCAAGTCCGTCTCCCCCCACTTTTCTCTTATATATACGCGCCTTTTTTGATCGCTTGTGTACACCGCTATTTTCAACCCCTTGAGAGACGGACTTGAACGAAGTCTAACGTCGACACGGCTTTTGAGTTTTTTAACCAGCCGAGGCGAAAGTAAATCATGCAGTCGGGAAATCTGAAAACGGTCGTTGCTCACATATAATTCACGCTCTTACTTTGAAAGATTATTTTGCAAAATACTGTATACTCGCAGTCTCGCACACAACAATCATAAAAATATATATATAGTTGAATTGTTATGTCCGGATTGAATTGATATGTTGAATTGTTTATTGTCAAGTTCTGCTATTTTGAGACGATATGGTGTTAGGGCTTTCCCTTCTCTCCCCTCGTCCTCACACGAAAGCCCTGCGAACGACGTTGTACAACCCAATAAGTTATTGCAAACAGATGGGAAATTAAATGTGTCGACACTGACCAAAAATAGCGGCTTTTCTTCTTGCGTTGCCATTTTTGCGTTGAAGAGTAAAAATATAGACTTTCGGAGAATATTTTCTCGGTGTACTATCAAATATGTTTGTGAAACAGTTGATAATCTAACTGAGGATGGCCAACGGTTTCTGAAAAGCTAAAACACGTCGAAATCAGCTGTGGATTAGACTATATTTTCACTGGGGAAACATGAACTAAATGGATATTTACATCAGCACTAAATTTTGCTCGTGCCTACAGAGCTAGTTGGATTATAACAGATGTTAAGACGTAAATGACAATATTAACTTTGTGAATTATTCTTTCATTAAAATGTTTCAGAAGGTTTGCTAATGTCAAACTACACGTGTGACAGAGCTGTGAGTATACCCACATTTCAGTGTTTATGTTGAAATGACCCATCTTCTTTGAGGTATAGCTTAAAAATTATGGTATGCTCATGATCACTTGAAATTATATTTAAATCAAAGTTTTATCTATACTCGTTTTATTAGAAATAGAACTATCATTCATAGGAAACATGTGCCAAAGGGTTGAAATTGCCCTTTTAGGTGTACGCTATTTTTGATATGTTTGGGTTAGTATTTTGAAAATGTGTTCTGGAAGGAAAACATGTCTTGAACAATACTGGTTGACCCTTAAATTATATAACTAGTGTTATGTAAATCACAGATTATTGAAAAAAGTCTGGTCCATACACAATATTTTGGATTCTATGTCCCGTATGGGGCTTATTTCAATGTTGAATCTGTTTACCTGGAAAAACTTAGTCAAGAATTTGACTATGCTCATCACCCAAAACCTGGTTTTTCTAATTGCTTTTTCACCTGGATTTCTGACAATGCCAGTTAATATATGTGACCACGAAAAATGTTCGCGGAACTTTTTTTGAACACTGAAGATGGTAGCATTTGATGTTGTCATATGTTGCCATCCTCTTATCATAATATAACTTAACTTATTGTAGTGAGTTTGTTAAAGAGTTGTACTCAAGATATGCCTGTAATATATAATATTTTTTCATAGCATTAGATGAGAAATTTAAGTTCTGTTTTGTTTTATTTATAGGTGATAGTATCTGTTCACTTGAGTGTTGGTATCAAATTTTGGACAAGTTTCAGTTATTATTTCACATTCCTTTATTTAAATATCCAAATAAATAGAATATGACATCAAGCTGGAGGACTAGATCATGTTTCCAAACTTGTTTTTGTAAAAATAGAAAAGAACAACTTATTCAGAATCTGTGTTGTTCTAATAAATACTATTGTTTTTGATATGCATTTAAAATTACATTAAAATTATATTATTTAAAATACAGTCATTCTTTGTTAAAATGGGTACCAGGAATGCTGAATCTTTCAGATCAGCTAACAATACCTCTATAACTTATATAGCCAAGTGCTCGATCTATTTCTGTTCGGACTAAACAAATAATGTTTAAAATATTAGATTAGAATTTTTCAAAAACAAGGGTAAAAAAGCAATAAAATAAAGCAAAAGTACTTATTAATCATTAAAATTTTGTTTTATCAGCCTTATAACCTGATAAATCCACGAAACGCTCCTAATATATGTCGCCATATTCGTTTTTCGCGCATGCTCAGACAAATTGCCAATCTGGGGCCGGTTGAATCAAGCCCGTTTAGCTTAGACGGTACCCTCGGTTCAAAGCTTTTCTGTTGTCAGAGTTTTAGGAGACGTCGAGGCGGAGAAAACCTCTTGGGCGCGACCACTGAGCTATAAATATATGGAGAGCGCAACTATAGATACAGAAATTGAAGCCGGAAGTCGCGCGCGGCCGCCATCTTACTGTGACCACCTTGAGGAGTGACCTATTGTGATTAATACGGTATTTTCAACTGTTTTATTCTGTTATCTCGCAATAGAGGAACAAATCAAGTCAAATATGGTATTTTAAGCAAAAGCACATGTTCAAGAATGTTGGGGACCTCTTTCACATTCAAATGAACTCAATCGTAAAGAAACGTGTCTATATTTTTGACGACGTTTCTGAGTGCGACTGAGATGAATCATGAATACAGTCGTGACAACACCTTTCAAATGGGAATTTCTGATAGAGATCGGTGAATTATACCATAAGTTAACACATGAGAAATTGGTCATGAACTTTATTGTTTTGGAAATGGTGAATTTTATATGGACAAGATCATATACTCATATCACCTCATATTTGTTTCTATCAACGCAAACAATTTATGTCGCTTGTGGGATTTGTTAAAGGAACAAATGATTGAGGATGGTAGAAAAAATAGCAGGTGCGTTGTAGTGATCTTATTTATGTTAATGGTGGGTGCTTAAACGCAATGCCTTGTGAGAATATATACCATACCATCCCTGCTTGTGTAATATGTTCCTTATTAAAGTCATAGTCATGATTATTAATTATCACTCTTCTGAGAAGACCTCAATGGTGTTTTATTCCAAAGAAGCAGATTAAAATTAATAAATTTGAAAGAAATTGAAAGTTGTAAAATAATGGTATCTCATTTCTGTGCTTTTTAGATCCTATAGAAACAGTATAAAGTGAAGATGGAACAATGCTGCAAACAGTTACTTTCAGTTGCATGTCTATATATGCATTATATTGCATTGTGTAAAAACAATTTAATTGTAAAGGGTCTCTAGTATTATAGGATCTGTGTGAAATCTAACAGCCTAATCACAAAAAATGTATTGGTTATAAAACATTGTTTGTTGACTGAATACTGCAACCTGCT